TGCTTGGACAGTAAATCTGTTATTTTGTCATTCTGGGTAAAATGATTTACAGTCTGATGTATTGGAGTATGAATCTCTAATGATTTTATATTATGATACATTTCTGTCATTTGAACACCCAACCACCAGACAGCAGTGTTGTAAACCAGTGGTTCCCAATCTGAGTGTGGAGGACCCCCACTAGGGGTCGCCAAAGCTCCACGGGGGGGTCGTGAAGCCTTCTTGAGTTTAAGAGGTGGAAGAAACAAATATACACAGTAGGCCTATAACTGAGTATCCGGTTCTTTTCTGAGAGGAAAAGGAAATGAAACTGTTATTCTTAAAGTTTAGATCATTATTTAAGATGTAGCTAGAAGCTTTAATCACAGAGTCTTCACTCTCTGAACAACCTCGTCCTCCAGGACAACAGAGCTAACCGAACAGCGTCCAAGGGGGAAGAAAACACTATTAAGTTTGTTTGATTGTTAAAAATAAAGAAAATACATAATGAAGACTGAGAATTGTATTAAAAATAAAAATAAATCAGCTTGAACTTCCTCCAGATGGTTTCACTTCCTGCAGGTATTATGAGTCAGGGGTCAGTTTACTCGATGATGGAAGAGGACTGTGATAGAAACCCCTGCAGATCACCGCATACTGAATGGCAGCCTCGTGCTACGTGTCCTCATCCATACTGTGTGTGTGTGTGTGTGTGTGCTGGCACCTCAAGTGTGTGTGTGTGTGTGTGTGTTGTGTGTGTGTGTGTGTGTGTGTGTGTGTGTGTTTTTACACTGGCATGTGTGGTCTCTAACAAGCCTGCAACACCCCCTGAACCCCCCCGACCCCCCCGACCCTGTCTCCGTCCTTATCACAGCAACCACTGGTGCATTCCTCGATGCTAACAACAACAGGCCATAGGCGCTGGACGGCTCTTTCTCCTCGCTCTCGCTGTGCCGCTGTTGGTCTGCTCTATAAATAGGCCATTACTTTGAAATGTAAGTATGCTTCCTAAAATCCCCGCCCCTCCAGCTCCGAGCTCCCTCACACACACACACACACACACACACACACACACACACACACACACACACACACACACATATGTGCGGGCCCACCAACCCAACAACAGGGCCCAGATTAAACTCTCCTTTTTAAAGCTCATCTGGGGGAGAATGGGGGGGCAGCATCAGTGGGCTGTTTGATGTGGCTGGTTGATATGCAGCCTGTGATGTTTGCTGAGTGACTGACTGAGTGGATGCGGCGCTCTGAGAGCAAACCTGGGCTTTAACTTAAGGGTAGCGTATAGTTTAATAAGGAGCACATTACGATGGATGTAGAGTTTCATTTATATAACCTTCATCATACGACACCCCCCCCACCACACACACACACACACACGCACAGCTTCACTCAGTGGCAGCAGTGTACAGCAATTACATCTGCAGTTAACAATGACCTTAATATCAATATCAATAATCGATCCATTTAGTCATTTTTAAATAATTCTCTCACTTCAGCTGCTTTGTTTAATTTGTCCTGTCATTGTTAACTATTATCTATATACTATCTACTATCTACAACATATTCTCTCACTGTGTTAATATGATACAATCTCTAATCTCTTCACCTCAGTGTGCAATCGTTCATATTGTCCTCCTTTAATTATTATTATTGTTATTTTTATTGAATTGAACAGTTTTAACTCTTAGTTGGACACAAAGACATTTAAAGACGGCACAGTGGGCTCTGGGACATTAGGATACTTATGCTTTCCATATTCTATTTTATTACATAAAGTGTGTATATTTTATTATATTTAATTAAATGTATTTTATTGCCTTTTCTTACTCTTTGCACAACCTGTGCTGCTGGGTTAATTTGAATTTCAATCAATAAAGGAGCATCTTATCTTATCTGCTCTTATGGATCCAACAATAAATCAATCCATCAGATAAATACAGTAAGAGGCAGATCAATATCACCGGTTTCTTCCCTGTGTTAGACAGGTGATCTTTAGCTCTTAATCACACATACTAACTCATTTTAATCTGATGTCACTGATACATTTTACTTTTATATATGTTTCCACCATCAGTCATTTCCTCTCATTGTGTTTCTATTTGGTCACAAACAAACTATCTCAGTAACTTCTAACTTTTACTTTTACTGTATTTGATTGTATTTTATTGGCTGACTGGGCCTTTATATACTGCAGGTTTACAGACAGCTAGAATATAAAAACATTTACTGTCATCATGTATATACTGATGGCTTTGATAATTATATTATATTGATGTTTTCTTGGCCCCACAAAATGATTCAATATAATAAAAGGAATCAGAATCTAAACAATCTTTAACGTAGTAAAAACAGAACTTAAATATAAAAGATACATCCCAATAACTTAAACATTGCTTTCTTGTAAATAAAGGATGCATTAATATTATAAACTGGCATAAAGGTACGTAAGTATTCAAAGAGATATTTCAAAAAGTTGCAAAAGTAAGAAACTAATGGTCCCAATGTAACAACAGCTCGCCCTGATGGCAGCGCTGTGAGCAGCTAAAACAATATGGCTGCCTATTGAAGAGCAGTTGTTTGTGTGGCGGTATAGGAGAATCATCCAGTGTCCCAGCACTGTGTACATCGATATCTTCCTGAACAATGTGTCTGTTGATGAATTTAAAGGACTGTTTCACATTCTTTCTAGTGCAAGAATGGGTTTTGTACCACAGAAGAAGATATTTGCTCAGTAGGAAGAGTAACAGAGAGCAGAACTGTTGCAGTGTACATGTGGACATGAGAGGATTGTTTAAGGCTGTGAACGGATCCTTTAGGTTTTAATGAGTCACTTTGTTTTCGTGTCCATTAGAAAGCAGCTGGTTTGCTCCAAAAAACACATTTTAATG